ATTCACAGACTTATACATAAGTTTACTACAGAAGTTAAATGCCCAACAACAAAAAAGAGAAGGAAAAACAACCACAAACAACGCAGCAATAAATAATTTATTTATTTATTTACAAACGAAGAACAAAAATTTTACATTGTTCATTCCTCCTCACTCGAAACAAGATCTTCTTTGTCAACTCCTTCATCTAAGGGGGTCTGAGCCACATCGTCTTCCTCTACTCTAACATTGTTGAAGTCCAAGTCTGGAAACAACTCTTCAGTCTTTCGCTTGAACGTTTTCTAGCCACTGTCCCAGAACTCAACAATCTCATGTTTGTAGAAGTCCGACCGCTGGAAGCTCTGAATCACTTCTTCTTCACTCCTGCTCCTAGCGGTCGCTCCCGATGGGCCAGCCCCCCCAGACCTCTCTCTTGCCAAGCTAATGGCGATTGCGGCATCAATAGCCATCTGAAAGTCGGCGGACCGCTTGAACTGTTCTACCATTACGACGCACAGGTCGGGGTACGCCGCCCTCTCAGATGTTAGCTTGCTCCTTTCTTCCTCCAAGGCCCTCTCCAGCCCTGCCTTTTTCGCCGCTGCCTTGGCGCACTTGTCTGCCAACTCCTTCTCCAACCCAGCGATCTTCGAATCTGCTTCTTCTTTTTCCTTGATCGACTAGGCCCGTAGATCCTCATTGCAAGTCATGGCCTCATCCCACCGTTCGTTGGCGACAGTGCAGGCCTTCTGCGCCTCTTCCAGCTTCTTCTGCTCGCTCCCCAATTGGAACTCGAGCGATACCGCCTTACGGCGTTCCGTCTCCAGCTCTAACTTGGTTGCGAGCAGCTCAGCATTGGCTTGGTCGGCTGAATAGCCCTGCACCATCGCCAACACTTCCATCTTTTTGGCTTTCTGGGCCTCTTCCAACCCCTTAGCACACACACTCCGTGCGGTCCTCCTCCACCCCGCAGTTTCCCTCCTTAAACTTTCCAGTTGGGCCTTCGCCTCCTCCAACTTTACCTTTAGTGGCCCCACTTCGCCTTTGGCAGCCGCAGCTTTTCTCAGTAGGGCTCCTGCTAAGGCAGTTGCCTCCATCTGAGCAGAGCACAACCCCTTTAGCAGTTCGGCCTCAGTGAAACTGGCCATCGAACGCACTGTCACCTCCTCCACCACGCCCAAGAGCCGGTCGGCAACAGTCTTGGCTGGGCCTCTTTCTCCCTCCAGTCGCCCAGAAACTGCTGGAGCGTGGTAGATAGCAGTTTTCAATTTGACCCCCTCTCCCTCTCCTTGGGGGGCAGCCCCTCCCTCTGGCTGTTGCTTTGCCCTCTCTTCAGACCCAGTCGCCCTATCTTTAACTTGTTTTTCAGGGCCAGTCGCCCCATTCATCATCTCTTTTGATGCCTCTTCGAACCACACTTCGGGGGCCTCCTCCACCGTCACCTCCTTCCTCCTCTTCAAGGCGGGCCCCTCCTCACTCTCACTCACTCTCTTCTTCTTCTTCTTCAACAACGCCTCTATCTCCTTATTTCTCTCCTTCAGAGGATCCACTGGGGGCGGTCGTGGCTCAAAGCCGCCTAGATCTTTCTCCCATAGCGGCTTCGGGCGCGGTCGGATTCGCTCCCTCACGATCGGCTTTGGAGCAGGCCCCAGTTGTGTCTCCTTATACTTGTTCGCTCGGGCGAATAATCTCCTCTCCTCCTCCTCCTCCTCCTCTGCCTTCCTCTGCGCCTCTAGCTCCTCCCTTGCTGGGTCCTTCCCCAACTGTTGCGGCCCCAAGTTCAAGGCAAACAACGTTGAAGGCAGGACCAGCTTGTCCCACCTCACCCCCTTCTCTTCCCTCCATTCCCTCACCCTCTTCACTCGGTCTTCGGCCGCCCTGTCCAACTTCGGCTCGACTGATTTGGTAGGGACCTTCCACGTTGTACGCACCCCAGCCCCACCGTTCGCCGTCACAAAGAACCATCTCGGTCTCCACCCCTTCACCGACGATGGAAGACCCGCCACCAGACCCCGCCCCGCCACTGCTTGCAGCGTCACCCAAGTCTCCTGCTGACCGGAGGCCTTGTAGCAGGAGAAGAACTCCTCTACTGTCATCGTTGTCCCTCCGGTCGCCTGCGGCCAGGCACTCGCGCACGCCATTACTATCTTCCAGGCGTTCAGCATCAGTTGCCCTGGCGCCGCTTCTAGCTTGTTTAGCACATCCACCACTACTTGGGGGAGAGGTAGCCTCAAACCCACTTGCAACGCCTCCTCGTACAAGCTAAATTCGCTCGGCCGCACATCTGATGCCCTTTCCTTGGTTGTGGGCAATCTTAGCCCTATCTTCGAGGGAATTTGATACTTCTTCCTTATTCCTTCCAATTCCTCTGCTGCTAGTACGGATCTGTCCGGTTTGGTGTGCCAATGGTCCGGCTCCACCTGGCTAATAGGTCTCACAGCCGAGATTATTGTCTTTGGGCGAGCTTGCACAGCTTGACTTGCTCCCTCCCCCTCCCTACGCTTCGTACGGTATTGTTCCACCAAATCTACCGCATCGTCGTCGCCCAATGGATCAACCCTTGCGGTTGTTGCTTCCTCTTGGGCCATCTCTCTCATGTGTCTGCGAATAGCTTCAGATGTTGGTGCGAGATAGTTCACAAAATGTTTCAACGGTGTATCACTTGACACGAAGGGGTTTACATTTGGAATATTTTGGTTGTTTGCAAAGAGATACGTAAAACGGATAATACCAAAAGCCCAAGGTTTGCCTATATTCCAAGCGTCACAATTAAATTTCGCCAGTTTGAAAATTTTCAAAAATCCGCCAAAATTGTCTTTTCAACACCCTACATTGACCTATTGTTTCATTTCTTGCTCAACGCCTAACCTTCCCCATCACGGGATTTCACTACGTGTACGCCCACGATCCACTGCCCCCTTTTCCCTTCCATGTCTTTTCCACTTCACTTCACCACGTGACCCGCTGCCCCTCGAGCCCTACGCCACACCACCCACCCTTCGCGGTCGGTCCTCCTCATGGTCAGTTCCACCACTCGGTCACCCTTCGTAGTCGGCCCTCCTCATGGTCGGTCCCACCACTCGGCCACCTTTCGCAGTCGGCCCTCCTCATGGTCGGTCCCACCACTCGGTCATCCTTCGCGGTTGGCCCTCCTTAGGGTCGGCCCCTCACCCGACCCTCCTCTGCGGCCACACCGCCTTCGACCCACCTCTCGGTCGGTCCTCACCCCGCCAGTCTTTCACAACCACCGTCTTCTTTCTTATTACCTTCGTTGGGCTAAAGCTGCACTCGGGAATGGGGGACTACTGACATGGGTAAGCCCATAAAGGCTACAACCCACTATAAACAACCCAAGCCCATCACTTAGGGTCCAATACATAATTCAACTAATGAAGCCCAACATGGCTGGAACTCAACATGGCATTAAGAACCAATGACACTCCGACACGTGACAGGTGAAGGACAAGCCACATAAGCAGACAAAGATCCTGCAAAGTTATTACACTGCACATCAGTCATTAATAAAGCCCCTTACAGCATTTATTGCAATAAGCCCTCCCCGTCGAGACAGAACGGCCTCACCATGAACAAGGCAAGCTAGAGCATAGACTTTCAGCCAAGATGGCAGGTCAGAAGGGACAATGAAATGATTACCAAAGGATATAAGCAAACGTCGAAAACAAGAAGAAGGTTAAGCTTTCTATCTCTAATTCATCTCTACACTCCATCTCTCTTTCTAGCTTGCTCGTCGGAGGGTTCGTTTGGGGACTCCCCGTTTCCCGTTGAACTCTTGTGCAGGTTCCTTTGTGGGCTTGGTCACCCGGACACTGGTTTGGGAAGCGTAGATCAGTCCGACCCGTTCCATCTGAAACCCGCAGTATCATCACATTCCATTTCGAATTTCAAAATATTGTTGAGTGTGCAACATTTTCATTATTTGTTAATAATTCTATATGGTGGCATTCCTCTTATTTATGAAATTGAGCAGTATGACAAAATAATCTAGGAACACGTTTCTTGCCTAATATCTGAAAACACACACATGATGCTTTTATGAAGAAATTATTTGCCTATATTCCAAATTATTCCTTTCTAATGAAAAAAATGCCCTATATATTTTGATAAGCGCACATTCTTTGTACATTAACAAGGGTACTAGATCTTTGACGTTTGGTTGTGGAGTTAGCAGGCGTGTGAAAGTTAACGATAGTTGAAAGGAATTTAACTCTAATCTTATTCATGAAATTATCCAAATAAAAATTAATAGGTAGATTAAGTGCTTTTAGCCTGTATGTGTTGGTATCATTTATGTCTAGTATTTTCATCTCATTTTTCAAGATAATCGTAGTGAAACTTGAATCATTTGAATCTTGTTTCTCATTAGGTTTGAGGACTTTATCAATCAAGCCTACAACATGCGCGGCTAGCTGCTTAGAAATTTTGATGAACCTAAAGTGGTTTTGCTTGAAGAAGATATATGGAATTTATTTCGTTGTAGTTTTACTCATTGATGTCAAATCGCGAATTGAATCATGAATCGTTTTGTTAAAATAGTGAATCGTGAATCGTAAATCGTAAGATTCATTTGATTTAATATGATATATAATTCTATATAACTAAATTACAATATGTAAATTAAATTACGTATATACATATAAAATCACATATATCAATATAACTAATTAATCTCTTCTATATAGCTTCATAGTTTGGCGAAAACGACGTTGTTTCATGCATTATGTGAACAAAAATAGAAATACAACTGAATCGCAGTGAATTGCAATGAATCGTAGTAAATCGCAATGAATCGTATGATTCACTCAATTTCCGACTCAACAACACAATTTGAATCGTTTTTGTTAAAACTCGTATCGAATCTTGAATCATACGATTCTAACAATCATGGTTTTACTTGTCATTGCAAATATTCGACCTCCTTTTCATTATACTTTGTTCACTATCTCTTAGCCTCTATCTCATTGAGCATTGAATTTTTTTATTTTTATTTATTTATTTTATGACAGGTGTGATTATTTGAACGAGCATTATGATGAGACTAATGCAAGTTTCATGGATGCATATCTTTCTAGATTAGACGAGTATGTTCCCAGTTGATTGTATTTAGTAGTGATTAATGTACTTGTTATTTTGTTTCATTTTGAATTTAAGAATATTTTAGTGCGTGCAACATTTTAGTAATTTGTTAATATTCTTGTACTGTGACATTGCTCTTGTTTTCGAAATTGAGCAGTATGACAAAATAGACTACTACGAACACATTTCTTGCCTAATGTGTGGAAATAAACACATGATGCTTTTATGCAGAAATTGTTTTCCTCCAAAATATTCCTTTCTAATGACAAAAATGCGCTATATATATATTGATAAGCCCACATTCTTCTTCGAATCATTGACAAGGGTATTAGATCTTTGAAGTTTTGTTGTGGAGTTAGCAGGCATGTGAAAGTTAAGGGTAGTTGAAAAAAATATATCTCTATCATATTTAGGAAATTAACCAGATGAAAGTTAATGGTTACATTAAGTGCTTTTTGCTTGTAAGTTTTGGTATCTTTTTTGTCTCTCGTATTTTGGCTTTCTTTTTAATGATAAACACAGTGAAGCTTGAATTAGTTGAATATTGATTTCCGTAAGGTTTGAGTACTTCATCACTCTAGCCTACAACAGGTGAATCAAGTAAGAAATTTTGATGAACCTAAAGTAATTTTGCTTGAAGATGTATGAAATTCATTTTGTTGTAGTTTTACTTGTCAATGCAAACATTTAGCCGCTTTTTCATTTTACTTTGTTCGCTCTCTCTTAGCCTCCATCTTGATGAGCACTGAGCTCTTTTTTTGTTTTATTGGAATAGGTATTATTATTTGAACAAGCATGAAGTTGTGGCTAATGCAAGTTTCAGGGATGCATATCTTTCTAGATCAGATGAGTATGTTCTCTATTGATTGCATTTAGTAATGCTTAAAGTATTTGTTATTATACTCCTCTTTGAATTTCAGAATATTGTTATGAGTGTGCAACATTTTTGTAATTTGTTAATTTTCGTATATTGTGGCATTTCTCTTGTTTATGAAATTGAGTGGTATGACAAAAGTCTTGGAACATGTTTCCTGTCTAATGTCTGGAAATGCACACATGATGCTTTTGTGTAGTAAATTAGTAATTGTTTCTCTGGAAAATTTTATTTTTTAATGACAAATTGCCCTATATATATATAATGATAAAACACGTGTTCTTCCTTGAATCTTTGACAAGGATGCAGGATTGTTGATGTTTCGTTGTGAAGTTAGCAGGCATGTGAAATAAAGGATAGTTGAGAGGAATATAATTATATAACTCTATCCTTTTTATGGTATAAGATTAAATTATACACTGCTGAGCCAGGACAGGCTTATTTAACAGGTAACCAACCTAAATCTGCCACATAAGCAAAAAGTGTGGAGATAATGTTATACTTTCTCTCTCTAAAGTTCCTTCTACTTCGATGTCTGGGTCTTCAGTTCATCAAGAAACATAGATAGCATTTTGTTTTATCATACAAAGCACAATCTCCATTCCTTTGACCTCCCAATCCCCACAACTCTCTTTTGATGCCCCTATGTAAACCCCAAGCGATACAGTAGCAGTGATGACAATATTCATGCTAGGCAATCATCATAGATTTCATCTCGTCGTCACTAATTTTTCCATCATCATTGTTCATCGCCATCAATGGGTGATGGACAATGATGATGGAAAAATTAGCAGTGACAAGATGAAACTTACGATGATTCACAAAGCATAGGTTTTATGATCAAATTTAAAATTGCATATTTGATTTTATTTTTGGATGAGATTAGATTCGTATTGACTTTTTTGTGTTGAAAGTTGCACAAGACTCCTGGGTTGGATTTCACTCCCTCGTCTCTCTCTGTCTTTCACTTTGAATTCCCCTTTCATTTTGCTTCTTTTTTTTGTGTGTGTTGTGTGAATATTGTCTGGTGGTGTCGTTGAGTTTATTTATTTATTTTTTATTTTTATTCGATGGTGGTATACACCAATGGAAGAGCTTGTTTTGAGTTTTTGTTGGAATGGAAGATGTGTTTTTTTTTTAATTGAATCAGAGGAAAGGGACAAAAAAATGATTGAAAGGAGGCAATTGGGAGTGAAAAAAAAAAAAAAAAAAAAAAATTTCCCATTTTTTGTTTATGTGGCAATTTTGGATTGGTTGTTCGTTACATAAGCCTTTCACAGCTAGGTCGGAATTATCCAGATGAAAGTTATAGCTACATTGAGTGCTTTTGGCCCGTTAAGTGCTGGTATCTTTTTTGTCTCTAGTATTTTGGCTTCTTTTTTCAAGATAAACATAGTGAAACTTGTATTATTTGAATATGGTTTCTCATAATGTTTGAGCACTTTATAAATTGAGCCTGCAACATGTGAAGCTGCATGGAAATTTTAATGAAGCTAAAGTAGTTTTGATTGAAGAAGATATATGGAATTCATTGTCTCTTTTAGCCTTCATTTTGATGAGCTTTATGACTTTATTTTTATTTTTGTGGGATAGGCGTGTTAATTTGAACAAGCTTAATGTTGAGGTTGATGGAAGTTTCATGTGTGTGCATCTTTCTAGATTGTATAGGTATGTTCTTTGTTGATTGCATTTAGTAATGGTCACTGCATGTGTTATTACATTCCATTTCGAGTTTCAGAACATTATTGTGACTGCGCAACTCTTTCATAATTTGTTAATATTTTTGTATTGTGGCATTGCTCTTGTTTATGAAATTGAGTGGTATGACAAAATAGACTATGAACACATTTCCTCTCTGATGTCTAGTAAAATACATGCATGATGTTTTTTGTAGAAATTATTTCCTTCCAAAATTATGCTCTTTTGATGACCAAAATAGCTTCTTTTAGCAACCAATTATAGTGCCTATGATCACCCTGATAACACTTCTGATAATGATGTACGTCTTCTTCTCTGTTGAACCTTCGATTCCTACGTGCCAATTGTAAGGGAAAAAATTGTGCCCTGATGAATGAATCAACAAAAAGATGAACAGTGCACTAAGAATCTTTAAAATACTATGTCGTTAGTGCCCTATCCAGCTTATGTTGGATGGGCACTCTGATGCCTAAGTTAGCACTACCATCCTGAATATAGTAATTTTTTGTGACTGTATATTCACTTGCGTATTTGCTTACCTGGACCCTTAGGGTTCACCTTTGTTTATAGTAGAAGATTGCTTGCCTAACAAGTATCCAACTCTGATAGGAATATGATTGCTCCGTAAGTCTTTCCACACACAACTTCTAGTTGTTTGGGACTTCTATAATGATAAGATCTCACCTGTTGATGAGTTTTACTCCATGTACAATACCGAACCCTATTACGGATGACAGATTGAAACCCTTGTTGCCTTGAGCAAGTGTAGCAGCAGCTTTACCTACCTTTTGTAGTTACAAGTCCCTGGAGCCATATTTTGTTTTGATCCTAGAGTGGATATGTAACCAGATGGTTTTTATTTTTGTATTTGGTGATATTTTGGAACTTGGTTTGTATTCTATAAATATTAAATTTTCAATGGTAAAGTCCTAAACTTAGTGTTTTATATACTTTATTGCTTCCTTGATATCCCATGATGTTCCAAAGTTTAGGACATCACAATTTGGTATCAGACATATTGTTTGATTTGGATTTGACCATCGCCTTGTTCGCTGTAGGCCATGATTGTGTCATGTGTCTGTTCTAGGACCCATGTAATTCTATGCTAATTTTTACTTCCCACAGTTTTCTTTTCAGAGGATGCTTCACATTTAGTGAGTTCTTGAGTTGAGAGTTGCATTTAGGTCCTTTAACTCTTGCAATAGGCTTAGCTAGTGTCATCATTATTTTCTGGTCACTATGCTTAAAAACATATGGATTCTTCCTACCTAAGTGTTGGGCATCTACATAAATTAAAGGACAGCCAAGAAGCACGTGGGCTACATCCATGGGTAAGACGTCGTAGATAATTTTGCCTGAATAATTACTTATTTAATGGGCATTAGAAACACTTGGAAACAGGAAAAGATATCTTGTCAATCCATGCAACCTTATATGACTGAGGATGAGGTTCTAGCTGAGTTTGAATCTAGCGACAGCTGACTTGGACACCACATTAATGGACCTACACCCATCAATAACTACCTCATAAATTCTATCCTTCCATTAAATAAAAGTGTGACCTAGTGTGTTGCCAATCCTTGGTATCAGAAAGGCTGGGAGTAGTATATCGCATCTTATTAATGCAAGCTTTGGGTTCTCAATCGTTTTCTCAAACTCCTCTAAGGAATCATGGTTGACATTTGTGCAGATTCAAACTGACTCAAGAATAGACAAAGAAAGCAAATAAATAAATCGACAAATTCAAACTATTCAGAACTAAACTCACCATACCCACCTGTTTGGAACATTCAAATTTGTTCAAATTTCATTACTCTACGTGTATAAATTTCAAATTATGAAGGGTATCCATTGAAGACATGCACATATAAATATCACCTATTATACTATTAAAAAAAAAAAAAAAAACACCACCACCCAGTTAGTATATATTAATGTGTATTTGGGAGAGGAAAGATTGGGTACACACCTAACCTTTGGCATAGTGCACAAAGTGGTTGGCCCGGGACTCGAACTCATAACCTATTAGGCCAAGGTTTTACCATTGAACCAATAGTATAATATCACCTCTTATACTATAAGAACCCAAAAGTCATAATTTTTATAGAATCACAACACCGCCACAAAAATTTCTAAAATTTCTGAAAAATCATTTATAACGGTTATACCCAATATGTCATTTATCATGTCAATTCCAACATATAAATTCCCTAGCACTAGAATTCCCAAATTTAGTTCACATTCAGTGCCTAAATTTACCCAAACTTCAATCCTCAAATCAACCATCAAATCAATGATTTCACCATATGCAATAACATCCATAGGAACTAATAGGTAGCATATAACTCAACGAAGAAAGCTTAAACATGATGGATCTAAAAAAAATGCTCTGTAACTTAAAACATGCAAGCTACTGTACTAGAACTTTTTAGAGAGATTCTTGCCAATTAAGAGTTTCGAATCGATCCTGAAACAAAAAGCCCCAAACCTTGGTTCTTCAAGAGATTAGGAAAGTCTAGAGTTTTGAATATGATTATTGGATATTTTTGTGGAGAGGGAAAATGTGGCTGGCTGGGTTTTTTAAGGCAAGCAAGCAGTGGCCGGATGTTTTGGTGGTGACAATGGGTGGAAGTGGTGGTGCAAGATTGGAGCTATAGGAGGGTGTTTGGTTGTACGAAAATGAGAGAATATCAAAAGAGAGGAGAGAAAAGGAGGAAAAGTGAGAGAGAATATATGCTCTGAAAAGGCAATGTTATATAAACTATCACATTTCTCATAAATTAGTAAGAAAAGTTGTAAGATTTATTAGTTTGTTTAGTGTTTTCTACATCAGAAATATCCTTCACCCTTCGGCCATTAATAAACATTTGAGTTGAGGGGTGACAAAGAATGGATCAAGATCTGGAGAGAATTGACCATTGTTGCGAGGTAGATTTTTCTCCATATTCAACATATGTTTTTATAATAACCATGATGATGATCCAAATTTGAGGTTTCACCTTTCTGAAAAAAGAAACCAAATTAGGTCATGAATAGCGGTCGAGATTTTGCTGCTGTTGGTAATCATACAACTGCGTCAGTTCAAATGGTGACTGACATTGTTCTCTGTCCTCTTCTCTGCATCTCTTTCTTAGTTTCTCTCTCCCTCTTCTGCTTTTTCTTAATTTCTCCATAAACCGAAACAGCTTCTCTTTCTTGAGCCGTTTCTCTCATCTAGCTCTGACCAACCAACTTGCCTATATCAATATATTTTTATTACGCCATGGCGAATTGCAAAGATGCTTTGCACAAGCCAAATGAGTTAGACATAGCTGATAGATTGTAATCTTAAAGCACATCACACTTCCATTAAAACAAAACACAAAGAAACAAAAAAAATTGCTTATATTTCCAGCATCTTCTAACATGAATGAGAAGAATATTCAAAACGCAAGTAGCATAACTTTGGCTGTTTTCCTACACATCAGTTCATGAAGTCAAAAGGGTTAAATAACTAACTCTGAATGCCAAGTCTAGTAGTATGTAATTCTATGGAGAGAAAAAAAATCCGTATTTTATTACATGTTTTTGTAGACAAATTTTTGGGACTCGTATGTAAAAAGCTTAATGCTTTATGTTCCTCAATAATCAGGGTAGTAAATTTTTTGGTGTTGCATAGCATTTTGATTTAATTTTTTTAAACATGTAATTTAGTTTAATTTGAGTTTGTATTGTAATCCCTATGGATTTGTGTTAGATTACATAGTTGGGAAGTACTTGTTGATGGTTGTTTAGTACAAATTTTGTTGTTATGTTTTTTCATAGAGACAACTAACTCGAATTACAAATTTACAGATATGCTTTCTGAAGACTTGAATACTGATTTGCGAACGACCATTGCATCTGTCAGTTCATTCATTTCTAACGGTAAAATATGTATTGTCAACCACACCAATTCATACGACGCAACCATGAACTGTGATATGTCAACGTTTTGTCATCTTCTTCCAAATAATGATAATGTTCATTATTGGTGTAAGTTTGCATCGGAGCACAAAAGCTCCCATTTGCTTAGAATATTGGGGAAGACCCATGTAGGGATGATCAAATAATACTATTTTCTCAACCCGTGGACCAAAACTCTGAAGATTTGACGCAACACAATCTTCTCATCAGCCTCGACAATCATTTGACACCTTCTTTTACGGCCCTTTTATTGTGAGTGCATCTCTCTTTGTTTATCTCTATTATTGCTTTTGCAATATGTTTATTAATTTCCTCTTTGTTTTCTATATTGTAAGGATATGTTGAAGGGGATAAATTACTTTCATAGCATATTAAAGCATGTACATGGCAAAATATGCGGAGAAAACATTTATGTCATTGATGGGAGGGCAAAATTTGCTAATGTGGTGGATATTAATTTTAAAAAATCTTATGTTGATGATATCAATAGCTTTTGCAAAATGGTAGAATCACCATTCAAGGCCAAAAACATCCCGCTTCCATTGGAGTTAGAGTATCTTCTTTCAAGCTTGAAAAAACCAAATGGGTGAGTTGCATGATTAGGTCGATACTATCTGTTCGTATTACTATGATCTAAGAAGCACGGACACGCGACACGACACGGACACGACACGGACACGCAAAAACACAAATTTTCAAAAAATAGGGGACACGACACGCCGGGGACACGTTCAATATATATAATTAATTTTATTTATTATATGTCATAAAATTATTAAAAAAAATCAAATAAAGGTAATAAAATATACAAAATAATACTATTAAAATTATAAAAAATAAACATTTAATTGATTTAATTATATACTTCCACAATGGTTTATTCTCATCAAAATCATCATCAGGTATATCATTAGAACTACCACCCGTAGCCATTGTTTCAGAATTAATAATTGGTCCCTATAATAAAATTAATAAACATACATTATTAAAATTATATTCTCAAATAATAGAAAAGAAAAAATAAAATCAGAATATAAAAAAAATAAAAGAAAAGAAAAAATAAAATAAAACAAAATCAGAATCATTATTAAAGAAAAAGAAAAGAAAAAATTAAATTAATAAAAGAAAAAAAATAAAAGAAGAAAAAAAAAATCAAAATCAAAATAAAAGGAAAAGGAAAAAAAAATGAAATAAAAGAAAGAAGGAAAAAAAAAATGAAATAAAAGAAAGAAAGAAGAGAAGAGGCTGAGACAGAGAGAGAGAGCTCTATCGAAGAGAGAGAAGAGGCTGAGACAGAGGGAGCGATCGAAGAGAGGGAGCGATCGAAGAAGATCGAAGAGTCGTACCTTCCTTAACGAAGCAGCAAATCGACTGAAGATCGCACGAAGAAGATCGCCGACTGACGACAGACGGCCGACGACAGACGACCGACGTGGAGCAACAATCGACGAGAGACGACGTACGACGAAGTCTTTCTCAGCTGTTTATCTTCTATTCCATAGTCGATTCGAAGAGATTAGGGCAAATTAGGGCAAATTTGATCTGCTTTTGGTTATTTTCAAATTGACCCCAAAAAATTTTAGTGAACTGTGAAATTGCCCCCGCGCGTGTCCCAAACGTGTCTATAACGTGTCCAAAATGTGTCCGGATGTAAAAAAATTAAAAAAAAATTGGGACACTCTTCCATGCGTGTCGGACACGTGTCCACCGCGTGTCCGACGCGTGTCTGACACTGGTACAGAGCTCTCGGAGAGGTGTCCGTGCTTCATAGACTATGATTGAATTTCAATATGTGATTACTTCTTTTGTCCACAAGTTGTGTAATTCTATTAACCACCTTGTTCTGTTGAATTCATATGGCGAAGCCATGTGCAGGCATATGGAAATGCGTCATATGAAAAATATCCTAAAGAAAAAAAAAGTAAAATAAAAATCTGAACTTTTCTTGGATTCAGAAAGTTACGGATGGAAAGGAATCTTATACGTCATTGTTGTATTATGACTCTAGCCAACAGGATGGACAAGGCCAACAAATTAAATACAACAATTCGCCAAAATAGTTTTTACGATTTAGTAGAAACGTTCAACACGTAGACTTAAGAATATCAAAAATATCAAAAAAATACCCAAATAAAATTGGTAACGAATTGATATTCTTAAGTCTACGTGTTGAACGTTTCTACTAAATCGTAAAAACTCTTTTGGCGAATTGTTGTATTTAATTTGTTGGCCTTATCCATCCTGTTGGCTAGAGTCATAATACAACAATGACGAATAAGATTCCTTTCCATTTGTAACTTTTTGAATCCAAGAAAAGTTCAGATTTTTATTTTGCTTTTTTTTTTTTTTTAGGATATGCTGCAATCATCGCTTGGTTGAAGTTTCCATAATTTTTCATATGACGGGTTTCCATATGCCTGTGCATGGCTTCGCCATATGAATTCAACAGAACAAGGTGGTTAATAGAATTACACAACTTGTGGACAAAAGAAGTAATCACATATTAAAATTCAATCATAGTAATACGAACAAATAGTATCGACCTAATCATGCAACTCACCCATTTGGTTTTTTCAAGCTTGAAAGAAGATACTCTAACTCCAATGGAAGCGGGATGTTTTTGGCCTTGAATGGTGATTCTACCAGTTTGCAAAAGCTATTGATATCATCAACATAAGATTTTTTAAAATTAATATCCACCACATTAGCAAATTTTGCCCTCCCATCAATGACATAAATGTTTTCTCCGCATATTTTTCCATGTGCATGCTTTAGTACACCATGAAAGTAATTTATCCCCTTCAAAGTATCCCTACAATATCGAAAACAAAGAGGAAATTAATAAACATATTGCAAAAGCAATAATAGAGATAAACAAAAAGAGATGCACTCACAATAAAAGGGCCCTAAAAGAAGGTGTCAAATGATTGTCGAGGTTGATGAGAAGATTGTGTTGCGTCAAATCTTCAGAGTTTTGGTCCACGAGTTGAGAAAATAGTATTATTTGATCATCCCCTACATGAGCCTTCCCCAATATTCTAAGCAAATGGGAGCTTTTGTGCTCCGATGCAAACTTACACCATTAATGAACATTATCATTATTTGGAAGAAGATGACAAAACGTTGACATATCACAGTTCATGGTTGCGTCGTATGAATTGGTGTTGTTGACAATACATATTTTACCGTTAGAAATGAATGAACTGACAGATGCAATGGTCGTTGGCAAATCAGTATTCAAGTCTTCAGAAAGCATATCTGTAAATTTGTAATTCGAGTTTGTTGTCTCTATGAAAAAACATAACAGCAAAATTTGTACTAAAGAACCATCAACAAGTCCTTCCCAACTATGTAATCTAACACAAACCCATAGGGATTACAATACAAACTCAAATTAAACTAAGTTACATGTTTAAAAAAATTAAATCAAAATGCTATGCAACACCAAAAAATTTACTACCCTGATTATTGAGGAACATAAAGCATTAAGCTTTTTACATACGAGTCCCAAAAATTTGTCTACAAAAACATGTAATAAAATATGGGATTTTTTCCCCCATAGAATTACATACTACTAGACATGGCATTAAGACTTAGTTATTTAACCCTTTTGACTTCATGAAATGATGTGTAGGAAAACAGCCAAAGTTATGCTACTTGCGTTTTGAATATTCTTCTCATTCTTGTTAGAAGATGCTGGAAATATAAGCAAACTTTTTTTTGTTTCTTTGTGTTTTGTTTTATGGAAGTGTGGTGTGTTTTAAGATTACAATCTAACAGCTATGTCTAACTCATTTGGCTTGTGCAAAGCATCTTTGCAATTCGCCATGGCGTAATAAAAATATATTGATACAGGCAAGTAGAATTAAAAGAATCGTGAAAAGAATAAGCAGTCAACATTTTCTACATTATTCAAAAACAAAAAATGTTACCTCTATTGAAAACATTCCTTACTTACATTTAACAAATATCAACATATTGGAATTGACACTTGATCCTAGAAAGACAATAATATATATTCAGTCTTAAAAAGAAGAAATATATTATATTTTGCAGAGAGGAGTGAGAAGTATTCCCTGATTAAAAGCCAATGCTCTAAAAGCTGTGCAAAAGATATTAGCAATTTAGCAGTCTATTTCATATTCTTACCAGTTGATTTTTCACTTTGAGTAATTGCATTCTTTAGCTGCTTCTTCACTGCCAAAAGTTTGTCATAATCTTCGCGTAGTCTTTCATGGTCTGCTTTGACATTTGCCAATTCACTTTGATCGTTAAGATGCTTGATCACCATCATAGCTACTTCTTTCTCGGCTCCTTGTTTCGTTGAATTTTCCTTTCCATAAAACTTCTTTTTCTTGTCAACACTAGCTATGAAAGTAGGTTTATGATTACGTCCAATGTTCTCAATTGAGTGAATTGCTAGCTTAAGATTAAACTTCTCAAGAATTTCTTTGAGAATGGCTTTGAACAAAATATTTACTATAGTATAACGTCGACTCTCCATAATGTCGCTGCAAAAACATATAGTCAAACCTTTTATTTTTATTAAAAAAAAACAAGTAGGGGGAATATTATGCAACATTGGAAGGCAAACAAACTATGAATTTCAAAGTTTAAGAATTTGATATCCTTAAAAACTGTATAATTATTAAGAATAATCCCATAGAAGTTTCACATGAAATTAAATGAAAATGAAAAAAATATCTAAATGTAATAGCAAATGGCTAACGAGGATGAAGCAAATGTCGCAATCACATATGCTTGTTATAGTTTGTCTTACTTTTAACCATTATGGTCCAATATTCTAAAAATTCATGTAAAAGAAGTAGATACAAAATTTACTATATATCAAGGTTATATCTAAGTAATATACTATATATCAAGATATAATTATTTGTGACGTATTCAAAACATCTTTGGGCCTTAATTTTTTTTTCTTTCAAATTTTCCATATTGACGAGTCTCTGTCATCCTACCTGTGTCCCTTGTCCGTATCTATGCTTTTCAAAGCAGCAAACAGTTGTGCATTTTGTGTGGTGTTAGGCTAGGCATTCTTTCAAAGTTGAAAGAAAAAAAAATGCAAAGAATGTCAGCTCGTGCTCAACAGACTCAATGGAAAGGCAAAGCTAGTGAACAACTTCATTATTGATGCAGAGTATAAGAAGTTCAAGAAAGGCTAAATTCAAAGAAGCAATAATATTTGGACATTGGCATGATTTCATAGAGAAATTTATAGGAATTTTATATAATTATGTTTCTAGTATTATTAGAGTATTATTTTATGATTATTTTTATGTTTTGTAAGATTTTTAGGTGAAGGGTATATTGGTAATTTCATTATTGTTGTCATGAATTGTAGGGATCACCCATGGGTCATCTTGTGAGTCAAGTTATTTAATTGGGTTTTATTTATATTTCTTATTTAGCCTTCAATTAGTTTTAGAAGTCAGATATATTATAATAGTTTCATTTTTTTCTGGTTATAGTTGATTTAGGAAGTCCCCTAATTCTATACAAAGCCATGTAATGCTTATAATTTAATAGAGTTGACATTTTATAAAAAGCTAAGAGCTTTGAAGTTTCTTCATGGGTTGTGTGATGCAATCAAACCTAGGTGTGATGCTGAAGGGATTTTAGGAGTGATTCCTAGATTTATTTTCTTCTCTTCTTCCTTCGTCTTTTTTGTTTTAGTTTACTATTCATGAGTTACTGTTCACATCCTTATAACAGCCCCTAAACAGTGCTAAAATCCCATCTTTTCATGCTTAAACTCTTACCTATATATTACCTTAAACAAACCCTATTTGTCCCCTATATTCTGATTGCAATTGCAGCCACCATAAAATCCAATTAAAATCAGCCCCAAAAGCCTAGATTTGCTGCTGTCCCTATTCGTCATGCATTAGTTTGGTATCAGAGCGACAGATCCTATTGTTTTGTGGAAGTTCAAAAACATGTCTACGCATCTTAGAAGATCTCTTAGAAAGGGAATATTTTCTGAAAACCAAAGAGATCAAATTCTTTTTAAAATTGTGGAGCAGTTAGATAGTTTTCAAGTTTGGCTTAATTCTTTGGAAAGACGAGCAGCCCAACAGAAGGTCATAAACAGTCAAATTATAACTGGAAAAAATAATCTTATTGATGATTCAAAAGCACCCCAAGGAGCTCCAATTGTTACTCGAGAAGAGGATGAGATCCAAATAGAAGACTCGGATGTCACACAAGCTGCAAGGAGTGAAGAATTAATGCATCCTGCCGCTGTTCCAGAACTTATTATGCCTTTAAAGGTCATGATATTGCAACCTGAGATCTCCGATGTAGTGCCTACAAAGTCACCTACTGCATTTGTTCCAATCATAATCAAAGAAGTAGCCAATGGTGAATCAAAAGATGACCTTGTGCTAGGAAAAGAGGCTAAAAATAGAAGGATCGAAGTTGAGAATATCGAAGAAAGCCTTATGAAAATTGATTTGGATGAATTCAAATTTGATTTCTATGCCAATTGACTTTGTTAGTCCATAAAAATTTAGTGATATGATTGAAAAGATCAATCTCTCATTATTTTTTTTAGTAATCTCCAACGAAGAAAAGGTGGCGCCAACTTGAACATTTTAATGTAACGCCATGGATGCAATTTCAAAGCTTGTGAATTCTTATACTCCAGCACTTCAAAACTCGATGTTGAGTTTTTTCTAACCAAGGGAGAATGATGCAAAGTATAAGAAGGTCAAGGAAGGTTAAATTTAAAGAAGCAATGATATTTGGACATTGGCATGATTTCATAGAGAAACTGATAGGAATTTTATATAATTATGTTTATAGTATTATTAGGGTATTATTTTATGATTATTTTTATGTTTTGTAGGATTTTTAGGTCAAGGGTATTTTGGTAATTTCATTATTGTTGTCATGGACTGTAGGGGTCGCCCATGGCTCGTCTTGTGGGTCAAGTTATTTAATTGGGTTTTCTTTATGTTTCTTATTTAGTCTTAAATTAGTTTTAGAAGTCAAAGATATTATAATAGTTTTCTTTTTTGGTTATAGTTGATTTAGGAAGTCCCTTAATTCTATATAAAATCATGTAATGCTTATAATTCAATAGAGTTAATATTTTATAAAAAGTTGAGAACTTTAAAGCTTCTTTATGGGTTGTGTGATGCCTAAGGGATTGTAGGAGTGATTCCTAAATCTATTTTCTTCTTTTTCTTTCTTTTTTTCCTTAAATTTCAGCACTTTCACCACTGCAGAACAGCCCTTACAATGCTGTCCCTATTCGTCTTGCATCAATTACTCATGCTTCATTTCACCAAATCATGATTAAATTACCAAAAACCATGAGGAATTACAAGTTACAAATCTGTTAGAGTGAAAAAATAAGTAGTCTTTCAAATATATTTTGTTACTATTGTACCCTGCTATAGCTATATCTTAGTTTATTATATATATATATATAGATTTTGACAAATTATCATATCATATTTGTACCCTGTATTCCATATTTGTGCTTCCTTGATGTTTAAGATAAACTTCGGTTTTACTGAAAGTAAAATCCAAAATAGGTTATCCAGCACTCTCACAGTGAACACACTGGCTTTCACTATTTCACACATGATACATCCTTGTCAGGACCTCAAAAACTGTCTCCATTTCTAAAAAAATGGAAAACAGGGTTTCTTCCTCAATTTCCTTGTGGGTTTTGCATCTATAGGCAACAAGAGCCAAATGGTAGGCAAACAGTAGGATAGATTATGACTCTGCAATATCATCTAATCAATAGAGATCCAATATTCCCTCAATGAGCTTCTATTTTCTCTTTCGACCGTGAAATTACAAAAAAAATAAAAATAAAAAATCCCCCCCTTGCAAATCATATCTTCCCATCTCTACATTTTCTGAAAAAATAAAAATATTAAACTAAAACAAAACTAATTGACAAAGATTTGTTTGTGTGTCCGTCCTGTATCAACATGATTATACATGCTCATATGCCTCAAAGGTAGTCCATGTTATTTACCAAAATGTACCAACAGGGTTGCTTACATCTTCAAGATGTGCATAAAGTAACAGAGTGAGATAACAAATTCAGAGTATAACATAAAATTATGGGAAGTGGGTGATTATAACCACAATGGTGAGCATCCCGCATCAATATTACAAAGGCCTTGGCATATAAAAAGCGTCAATTAGATTGAGGAAGTAGTACCATGTCAATGATACTTGCAATTACATTGTCCAAAAGATTCATACCAGATTCAAACAAGTGTAGCCACAACCTGTTGCTTTATCTATACATAGTAAAATTAGTAATAAAAAATTCCAAATACAAAACTGAAGATTGTACAGTACCAGTAGGTAATAAAATTGCTAGCAAGTAAATAATATTAACCTAAAGACAACCAAAGTTTGCAACATTCAATGAAAATAAAGGCAAAATTCAGAGGCAGCAACCTCAAGGAAGAGAAGGGAGGGAAAATCCTTTGGTATATAAAGCCAAAAACCTGAATCTGTGTCTAATATCCTTTTGAGCACAAATTAGCACATTAAAATATATACATGGACATTTTGGTATATAAGGTTGCAGAGGTTAAGACCCTATTCTGCATCACTAATGGCTTAACAAGTGCCATTAGTCCACCATTTGGTTGATATTCAGTTCAAGCACACTCAAATATCATAGAAAAACCATAAATGGCATACCAAACAAAATCAGAAGATAAGCAACTAATTTAAAAAAAATATACTAGTAGACAATGTTATAGCCTTAAACATCAAGTGCACTTTTGTACAATGAAAGGGATGCCCCTTATGTTTTATTATTTTTTTTCTGTGTAGGTGTTTTCATCTCTCGTTGGACAATTCCAAACTCTTTGCTCAACTAAAAGATATCAAAATTCTACAAATGTGATGAAAACTTGAAGGTCAACAAGCAAACACAACAATATGTCTTCTTTGGAACTTAAATCTATTGATATTGTGAAGCTATCTTAAATTGTGGTTTTGACATAATCAGAATCAACCTAATTATGTTTTGTTTTGTATTTTTTGTATGAGCATTATCACTAGTTGTGAAATGAAAAAGCATAAGTTACGTTTCAAATGCAAATTTAGCTTATAAGATTTTAGACTGCTTATTATAATTTGAAATCTGAATATTCTTGTCTCAAAGCAGCTTTGATTGGGCTTTGGCTCATCCGTCTTCATTATATATGAAGGTGATGATGATAGTATAAAGGTTTCATGTTTGAAGCTAAGTATATATGTGAATAGACATGGAAGTTTGTATGCCTAATTGTTCGATAAAAGACTTGAAGTTTGAAAGCCTTGTCACATTCAATTTTAGAAAGCACAACTTGTCATCCTCTTTGCAAATCTTGTACTCCTTTTGTGTTTCCTAGAAAGATATAATAAAGAATGTTCAATTTCATTTACTTTAGCTATCCAAAACAATTTTACCCCAAATTTGTTAGGGGTTTGTTTATTTAGGCCTTTGGTATTATATGACTACTGACCAGTCATTGCTATGACCTCAACTTACATACAAAGCTCAAGATCAATAGAAAAGACATTAGCTATTGCAAATTTGAAGGCAAAAAAAGAAAAATAGAGATTTTAGCCGGATAGTGAACAACTAATTGAAAGTTTCTCAGCAATCTAGCTTATGATCAATCACAGAAAATGTGAAAATTGATTAATACCTTGAATGCTTAAAGTTTTTTCCGAAAACAAAGTCAGATCTTTAAAACCTACAAAATAGTCAACAAAATTTATAAATTCAAACACAAACATATAAACATTAGCTTCAAATACGATTGGAATATATATCACCTTTGAATCTAGGTCTGTCACAAAGTAATCAGCTCCGACAAGATTGACAACCCTAAGATCGAAAATCTGTGAGAGTTACGGCAAACCAAATGAGATTAAAGCCCTAACGTTAGGAAGGATAGACAAAGTTCAAAATGCAATTGACCAAATGAGAGAGAGAGAGAGAGAGAGAGGGGGGCGGAGAGATGGCGACGAGGTGTAAAGTCCGACTAGTGAAGAGAGTGAGAGGACAAACCCTAATGGAAAACTTAATTCAGAAAAAAATTGGAAAATTATCAAAATTATCAAATTTATATATCTAGCTACTTCTACATAATAAAGAATGATTTCGAAGCTTCTAGACTTTCGAATAAGGAGGATCTAACCCTAGAGGCGCCATCTCTCAAGTCGAAATTGATTTCTGTTTAAATGAGTGCTTCTGGTCCTGCTTCTTAATAAGTGCTTTTCCGTCTTTGCCCATTTACTATTTAATAGACAGCAAGCAAGTATAGCAGGAAAGAGAAAACTATGGAGTCCATAGAAGCTTACATCAGAACTGCTGATAGCTGGATACCAAGAGAGAAAAAAGACCCTCCTTAGAGTCCATTTTGCACTGCATAAGTCAACACCCATGGAACTTGTATATTTTAGTCTGTCACTGGAACCCTCTCTCTCCCTCAATATTTCCATCTTCTCTCTATAATCACCCAACCAGCTTTGCTGTCTTATGTCTTTTGCAATCACCATCATCATCACCACAGCTCCAGCAACTACCACGGTTGCACATGCTCTAAGCACTGTGTGGGAATCCATTTGCAGAAGAGAAGAGCTCAACTCTATTGCCATGAACCAGGAGTTCCCAATGTCTAGAGTTTTCTCATTCCCTCAATTTGTGTCTTTATGCTTCCCGTTATGGTTCTTTTTTTATGCAATCATTGGTTCTGATGATTCTTTAATTAATGTTTTTGGGGCAGGCATGGATGATGGCGTTGTGATTGTCCTTTTTGTTGGTTGTTTTTTGCCTTAGAAAAAGTTTGCTGCACGTTGTGTGCATGTGCCATTGGCTTGGAAAAAACAAAAAGTTGTATTTAAAAAGGTTGTATACTATGATCCGTTGATTATTGTTTTGGGACATGATAATTGTTATCTGAATATCCTTTTTTGTTGGGTTTCTGCCCAACAAAAAGATTCCTACACAATGTTCCAAGGCAGATAAAAAGAAGGGATACTGCCTTAGGAAAAAGGAAAAAGGGGTATCGAAAAGTCCAAAAGGCTGTACCTTCATAAACTATTGGGGTGCTTACGTGTAAGTCTTAATAAGTGGACTTATTGTCTAATGGGTCTTATGAGAAAAATTTGTTATAAAAAAAGTCACTAATTGTAAGTTTTAGCGATAATTTATAAAAATTATGACAAAAAAAAGTCACTACTTGTCAATTTTTAGCGACATATATAAAAAATTGTCATAAAAAAATTATTTTTAGCGACAATTTTATTAAGACTTATTTTTAATTTTCAATAGGACTTGATGGGAATTAAGTCTAAATATTAGGATCTATTGGAAGTTTACTCTATTCGTCCTTGGATGATGCTTCTCTGTCTGAAAAACAAGAAACAACAGTGGATTATAAAGTTGTCATAATTTAAGAGCGGCTCAATTATTTTTGAGATCTTAAGTCAAATTTTAAAAGGTCTTTTGATATTTAAATATGGAAAATGCTAAAGATTGCCTTTAGGATTGTCATTAGTGTTGGAAAAGTGTGTAAAACTGTATTAGGATATGTAAAAAATATATTGAGATTGTAAATATTTTGACATTTTGTGGCAGTTACTGACAAGTTCTTTTAAATATTAATTTAAATAATTATTATTTAATTTTTTATTTTTTTATTTTTTTAATGTTTCAAATCTAGACCGTTGAGCAGATAAAAAAGAAGACCAGATGAAAAGTTATGAGTTTAACTATTTAGTGGATTGAAATCGAATTGTGATGTTATATGTATGTTATGAATATATTTGACATTACATGTAGAGAAAAAAATTATAAATTCAATACGAGTATTTTATTCTTTGTAGAAGTTTGCAAATGTGTAGAATTGTGGAATATACTATCTTTGTTGACGTGTAGAACAAAAATGATAAAACTTAGTTATGGTCATTTGAATTTGAAGTAGTGCTGGTGAGATTCCAAAAGGTTGCACATTCAGTACCCACTTCCCACATCGAATTAGCACATTCTACTCTATGAGGCATCCAATCACACGTTTAAACATACACCCTAAATTCTAATCCCACATGGTTGCTTGTGGAAGTCTTAGAGCTTCTTCTCATTTTATTGAGATGTCATAGCTCTAGTGTAAAGTCCTAATTAATTGGAACCGAGTGTCACGGTTTACAATTAAACCACAAATTTTATTAGTTTTTACAATGTAGCCCGGTTTTTCAGTGCAAAGGCTTTTGGTGACTTATTCATACCGGAAACTCAACAAGTTTATTTTGAAACATTTTGTTTTTTATAATGCAAAATTATTAATTAAGTTTTTATAAATAATTTTTTTAAATATATTTTTTCATGGACAATACTTTTTAATTTGTTTACTAATTAAGTGTGTATGATTCTAATCAATTTTAGAGAGATGAAATGTAGATTTTATTGAAAAATATTAAGCTTCTAACACACTTGATTATTTTAGAGGTCAAATTAAAAATGTATATATATATCATTTTTTTCTAGAACACTCAATTGCATGAGAATTTTAATTATTTGACCCCCAACAAAAACAAATTTTTAAAAAAAAAAAGAAGAAGAAGAAGAAGAAGAAGACATGAGGCTTCATTTTAATTATGATTTGAACCTGTGAGGCATAGCCAAACTTTATTTTTTGGGAGAAATAGCAATTTTTTTGAGCTTTGCCCATTATTATGAGAAGAAATCATATATATTATCAAGGGTCTTAAAAACGTGGGGTCTTTTCAAATATGAGACCTTTGGTGGTTATTTAACTCGCCTAATGGACATGTCACTCTTAGAGATAGCCAAATGCACTACAAGGACAGCTTGAGATGCTCTAAAAGGGAGTGTGTAATAGAGAAGTGAGGGGTGTGAAATGTAAAAATACCAATGAGCGGGGATTGGGGCTCAAGAACGCAGTTAACCTTGAGCAAGGGTCTTGGGTATTGGTGTTGGGTTTTGTATATTTTTATCTTATGATTATACTATTTATTAGTCATAGTAAATTTACCTATTTCGCCGATGGATGTAGTCATTTTTATTGAAATTGTGATTTTTTATAGGCTTATTTTTGGTCAACTTTGAATTTGAGTGGGACACGTTTTTTAGGGTGGGTCTAAAGTGGTGACGCGTTCTTTGCCGCATGGCAAGTCACACGGTGAAGACGGTTCGTCAAAACCAGTTATGAGTAAATGAGAAGTTGACGTCGTTTTCGGATTCATGGAATGGACAATTAAAGAGTAAAATGTAGGTTTCCTTGAAATGGTTGTCCCACATTAAAATTTTAAGAGAGCTTGTATGTGTTTATAAGTTCTAGGTGGACAAACTTAGGTTGGGCCCCAAAAGGCACCCCAAGTTTGTAGAAGGGAGGAGTTATGGATAAAGTGAGCCTTGTGTCATGGCCTTGGTTGTTTCCAAGTTATCCGTGTGGCACTTAGACAATCTCAAACTTCACTTGATGATGCTAAGTCAGCCTTACTCACAAATTTAGAAGAAAGGCAATTAAGAGGAACACAAGAGAGTTTGAAAGAATGCCTTGTAAACTCTTGGAAAGAAAGGCAACTAAGAGGAACACAAGAGACTTGATGATGCTAAGTCACTTGATGATGCTAAGTCAGCCTTACTCACAAATATAGAAGAAAGGCAACTAAGAGGAACACAAGAGAGTTTGAGAGAATTCCTTGTAAACTCTTAGAAAGAAAGGCAACTAAGAGGAACACAAGAGAGTTTGAGAGAATTCCTTGTAAACTCTTAGAAAGAAAGGCAACTAAGAGGAACACAAGAGAGTTTGAGAGAATTCCTTGTAAACTCTTAGAAAGAAAGGCAACTAAGAGGAACACAAGAGAGTTTGAGAGAATTCCTTGTAAACTCTTAGAAAGAAAGGCAACTAAGAGGAACACAAGAGAGTTTGAGAGAATTCCTTGTAAACTCTTAGAAAGAAAGGCAACTAAGAGGAACACAAGAGAGTTTGAGAGAATTCCTTGTAAACTCTTAGAAAGAAAGGCAACTAAGAGGAACACAAGAGAGTTTGAGAGAATTCCTTGTAAACTCTTAGAAAGAAAGGCAACTAAGAGGAACACAAGAGAGTTTGAGAGAATTCCTTGTAAACTCTTAGAAAGAAAGGCAACTAAGAGGAACACAAGAGAGTTTGAGAGAATTCCTTGTAAACTCTTAGAAAGAAAGGCAACTAAGAGGAACACAAGAGAGTTTGAGAGAATTCCTTGTAAACTCTTAGAAAGAAAGGCAACTAAGAGGAACACAAGAGAGTTTGAGAGAATTCCTTGTAAACTCTTAGAAAGAAAGGCAACTAAGAGGAACACAAGAGAGTTTGAGAGAATTCCTTGTAAACTCTTAGAAAGAAAGGCAACTAAGAGGAACACAAGAGAGTTTGAGAGAATTCCTTGTAAACTCTTAGAAAGAAAGGCAACTAAGAGGAACACAAGAGAGTTTGAGAGAATTCCTTGTAAACTCTTAGAAAGAAAGGCAACTAAGAGGAACACAAGAGAGTTTGAGAGAATTCCTTGTAAACTCTTAGAAAGAAAGGCAACTAAGAGGAACACGAGAGTTTGAGAGAATGCCTTGTAAACTCTTGGATGGATTGGAGCAAATGAGCTCCTCTCCTATTTATAGGTTCCCTAGGAGCATTCTAGAACTCTTAAGAAAATGTCATGTAAAAGCTTCCCATGGAAGTCTTCTTTACAAGCTACAAGAATGTTCTAGAATGCATTCTAGAACTATTTATACAAATATCTAATTATATGTACAAGTGTATAGATTCTTGAATTCCCTAGGTTCTTTTAGAATTCTCCATAGTTTGTTAGGGAGTTCTAGATTCTTTCATTAGCCTCTCTTTCTTGCATGCTCCATTCTAGATATTTTGGAGAATTCTGTAGAGGCGTGACACTTAGCTGAAACCACCACACATGCGCGCGCGCTGCCAGGCCGGGCCAGGTATGGGTTGTGGGTTGGGTCCTTACATTAATTTTTTGGACAAAATTTATTTGAATTTTTTCCAAAAAATTCTTGGGGGAATTTTTTTTTTTTTTTAATGAAATTAACGCCAAATTTGAATTCAAATTTCCTATCCAAACAATGTCTCTTTCGATTCCATTTTCCAGCAGGTTCAAACTGTTTTTAATAGATTTAAAACTGCCCAGCAGTTATGGATAGATTCAAACTGGTTTTCCAGTAGATCTGTTCAAAGTTTGAATCATACCTGTTCGGTTTGGAAACCTAGTTGTTTGGCCCTTCCAAAGGGTCACCAGTTTGCCTATAAATACAAGTTAATTCTAGCAGATTTCAAAGATCTAGAAAATTAATTCTCTTCCCGTTTTTGCTCTCTGTTTGCATTGTTCTTCATGCTAGGTTTTTAGAGAAATTACTGAGAGTATAGAACACAGGTTTTAGTTTGTTGTACAGATTGTTTGGAGTGCTACTACAATCTATGTAGATCATTGTATCTTAGGAGATAGATGCCATATATTCGTAAGCACCGAAGCGGGGTGAATCTGTCTTAAGAACAAAGTGTCACACACTCGACTTGATCAATTTTGTACTTATTTGTTTCGGCAAATAAATTATGTATTATTTATTTTATACAGAAGATTGTTCCAACAATCTCAAAACATATTCGAATTATTCTGTTTAAACAAAAATTTTCCTTTGTTTCCTTTTCTTCATTTCTTCTTCTTATAGAAATTATTTTCTGTGATTATATAAAATAATATTCTGGTTGGA